CTACAAGCAGTTAGAGAAAAGAAACAAATCACATACAAAGGAAAGCCCATCAGAATCACAGCAGACTTCTCAACACAAACCCTAAAGGCAAAAAGAACTTGGAGTGACAAATTCCAAGCCCTAAAGGAAAACAGCCTCCAACCCAGATTGATGTACCCTGAAAAATTATCTTTCAAAATTGAAGGAGAAATAAAATACTTTCATGACAAAGAGCACCTTAGGAACTTCAAAAATACCAAACCACCACTCCAAAAAACTTTATACAATATCCTGGGAAAAGAAAATGGGAATCACACCCCCAGGAAGCACAGCAGAATGAATCCACCAGGCACAACAAGAAATTAAAAGCAAAGTGGGAGAATCCAATAAAAAGAAAAAGTCATGACAATGATAAGTCAATATGTATCAGATATAACCATCAATGTTAATGGTCTCAACTCACCAATCAAAAGAAATAGACTGGAAGAATGGGGCAAGAAGCAAGATCCAACAATATGCTATATTCAAGAAATATACTTAAATCAAAAAGAAATTCATAGACTGAAAGTTAAAGGTTGGAAAACAATACTCCATGTGACAGGAACCCCCCAAAAAGCAGGAGTAGCTATCCTCTTTGCAGATCAAGTGAATTTGAAACCAACACTGATTATGAGAGACAAAGAGGGACACTACATCCTTGTAAAGGGAACAATCCGAAAGGAAGAGATTACAATCATAAATATCTATGCACCAAACACTAGTGCACCCAACCATATAAAACAAATACTAATGGACATGAAAAATCATATAAGCACTAATACAATAGTAGTGGGGTACCCCAATACCTCACTGTCACAAATAGATAGATCAACTAGACAAAAAATAAGCAACGAAATAGTAGAACTCAATCAAATTCTTGAACAAATGAACTTAACAGATGTTTACAGAGTCTTCCAACCCACAAAATCAGAATACACATTCTTTTCAGCTGCACACAGGTCGTTCTCCAAAACAGACTACATACTGCCTCATAGAACATCTTTAAGTAAGTGCAAAGGAATTGAAGTTACCCCCTGTATATTATCAGACCATAGTCCAATGAAATTGATGATCAATAGCAAAAGAAACCACAAAGATTCTGAATAATCAATAGGTCACAGACGAAATTAAAGAAGAAATCAGACAGTTCCTACAATTAAATGACAATGCCAATACATATCAGAATCCATGGAAAACAATGAAAGCAGTCTTATGAGGAAAATTCATAGCAGCAAATACTCATATTAGGAAAACAGAGCAAACCCAGTTAAACAACCTGAGGCTGAACCTCAAGCTTCTAGAAAAAGAAGAGCAGGACAAACCCAAAGCTCATACAAGGGAGGAAATTACAAAGATCAGAGCAGAAATCAGTGCAATGGAGACTAAGAGAATGATACAAAAAACCAATGAAGCCAAGAGTTGGTTCTTCAAAAGAATAAACAAAGTTGGCAAACCCTTGGCCAATCTTATCAGAAAAAGGAAATAAAAGGCAATTAGGAATGAAATCCATGCAATTAAGAATGAAAAGGATGAAATTAAAACAGACCCAACAGAAATACAGAAGATCATCAATACCTACTTCCAGAACCTATATGCCAAAAAGATGGAAAACACAGAAGAAATGGACAGATTCCTAGATACATATGAACTATCAAAGTTGAAAGAAGACCTAAAAATTCTAAACAACCCAATACCAATTAATGAATTTGAAAATGTAATTAAAAACTCAGCAACTAAGAAAAGCCCAGGTACTGATGGCTTCACCGCTGAATTCTACAAGACATTTAGAGAGGAACTACTGCCACTACTGTTTAAACTCTTCA